GCGATTTTGAATTACCTCCTGGACATTCCGCATCTCCTCTTAGATGCGAGGCAGCCCTCGGAGAGTTGCTCGCATCGGCGCCTGGGTACTCTGGAGAGTCTCGGGTAAGACCCTACAACAAGGAGCTCGTCTCCTGGCCGAAGCACGTGGCGCCTGTCCCGACGGCCGACCTCGCTTCTGAAGCTGATCGTTCTACGTTGTCAGGGTGGAGGCATCAAATGCTACGTGGCCCTGCTGATGCAGCTGCACTCAGGAAGGACTCGGGACTGGGGTCGCCCTATGTTGATCCACGTCTTCGATTTCGGCCTCGGGAGTATGCTGATTTTCTGCTACGCCTGGATCAGGCTGGCATGCTTGAGTGGGAGGTCGCCGAACGTCAGGCTACCTACTCTACTGGTTTTTCTTCGTCGAGAAGTCCAACGGCGTCAACTTGCGGCTCGTCTTCGACACGCGGGTAGCCAACATGTCCTTCTCGGCCTTTCCTTCTACGAGATTGCCGACTCCGTCGGCATGGAGGGCGCTCGAGGCCGACCGCGAGTTCTACGTGGCCCAGGGCGACATACAGTGCGCAGTTTACCATATGAGGTTACCGCCACATCTACATCGATATTTTTCTCTGCCCGTCGTCCCGAATCGATACTTGGGCTTCCAGCGGCTCAACGGCGTGACCATCGGGACGAACTCCTTCCTGCAGCCGTTCGTCTCCGTCATGCCGATGGGCTGGTCGTGGGCCCCCCACTTCTGCCAGTCCGCCCTGACCACGGCCATCCTCGACTCGGGAATCGACGAGAGCTCCATGCTGGTGGGCGGCGCTGCCATCCCTCCGCTGCGGAAGGACTCCGACGTCATCGGCGCGGGCTACGTAGACAACTTTGCCACCGTGTCTCTCGGCCCCGATGTGGCCACGACGGCCTGCCAGGCCATGCGCGACGCGCTCGTGTCGAGGGGTCTGCCCGTCGACGAGTTCGCCCCCGCGGCCAAGCGCGTGGTCTTCACTGGCTTGGACATCCTCGGCGACGTCGGCATCGTCCGGTGTAAGATCGACAGGCTCTGCCGGTTGCGTCAAGCCCTTCTTGGTCTACTTAGGCGTGGCTTTGCATCGCCTCTGGACCCATGCTGTGGATCTTCAACTCGGTCTACCGCTTCATGGGCCTGAACTCCCGAGTGGCCGCGCCGCTGTGGCCGTCGGTCATCGCAGAGTTGCGCGCGGCAGCCACCCTTATACCGCTATGGTGGGCCGACGTCAGAGCAGAGTGGTCGGCGACTACCTTCTGCAGCGACGCCTCCCCCTACGGCATCGGGGTCTGCCGCAAGACCGTCGACCAGGGTCGCCGCGGCCGCTGGGCGCTTGTCTGAGAGATGGCGCTATCGGTTCTCCGACGCCGTGCACGCCCGTGCGCGCGCTCTCGGGATCGAGCCTCGCATTGTGTTAGAAGCTGCCGTGGGCAAAAATTGCTTGAAATAATGCAGCCACAGTCCGAGGCCTCCCAAGATCCCTGGGGGCCCTCCGTCTACGGCATCATCGTTGTTACATCAACCAGCTGACGCTGCTTCCCTCGACGGCTTCGACGAAGTTCCCGACTCGATCACGGCTTTCGACGGCTGGGCCACGATACGCAGTTCGCGTCACTCGAGGTTCGGCTTGGACATTATGCGATACGAGGCGGAGGCTCTCGGGTTTGCGATGCGACATTCGGCTCGGTCTGGGCGGCTTCGTCATCATCGCATCTTGTTCACCGTCGACAATTTGGCTCTAGCACTTGCCGCTGGCAAGGGCCGTTCTGGCGCCCGAGGCCTTCGCGACCCTCTACGCCGTCTATGCGCCCTGTCGGCGGCCTCGGGCATCCGCCACGCCATTCGGTGGATCCCCAGCGAGAGCAATGCCGCGGACTCGCCGTCCAGGACAGGCTTCTTCGTCGGGCCGGCCTTCGAGGAGCACCAAGTGAATGCATCCCGAACTTCGACGGCAGCGGGCCACGACCCTGACGGAGCAGAGGACCAGGACCCATCCTGGGCCAGTGCTGCTCGCCCGAGGGGCCCTGTCGGTGCTGGAGTCAGCCGCCGTGCCGGACACGACCATGGCCAACTACTGGGGCGCCGCCAAGAAGTTCGAGGAGTGGTGCCGCTGGACGTCCCAGACGTTCTCCACGGCAGCGGAGGTCGATGTCATCCTAGTTACCTACTTCGTGAACCTCTTTCTGGACGGCTTCGACAGTGCCACGGGCCGTGTACTCGCGGCCTCTCTGAAGCACTACCTGCCCGCGATCCTCGTTGGCAGGGCTCCGTGCCCACGGGCGGCTCGCGCCTTGACAGGCTGGCGGAAGCTCGTTCCCCCACAGATGCGACTCCCTCTACCTCGAGCGGCGATGGCGTCCATCGTGGGCGTCCTGATCTCGTGGAAGCTCTTCGGCATGGCTGTGTTCATCAGGCTGATGTTCGACACCTGAGGCCAAGCGAGGCATACCGCCTCGCGGCGGGGAGCGTGATACGACCTCGACCCGACGGCGCCCTGGGATACGGCCACTGGGCCCTGATCGTCAACAACGCCTGCTTCGACCGCCCTGGCAGGACAGGCGAGATGGACGAGAGCGCGATTGTCGACAACCCGACCATCTGGCCGCTCCTGGAGGCCCTGGTGCACGGCAAGGGCCCGATCGACGGCCTTTGGACCGTCGCCCCCGACGAGGTGCGGAGCATGTTCCGTCGAGCGGCAGCTGCCCTCGGCCTGGAGACCGAGTTGACTCTCCACTCGCTTCGTCATGGGGGTGCGTCCGACGACCTGCTGTCGCTCAGGCGCACGAGGAAGGAGGTCAAGGACCGCGGCCGCTGGAGGACGGACCAGAGCCTCCTCCGCTACGCGAAGCGGGCCCGCATGCAGCAGCGGATCGCCAACCTAGGCCAGAACATCTTCGAATTCGGCGAGCAGGTGGACAGGCAGATGAACGACCTCATCATCTAGACCACGGCCTCGGGCGTCTTCCCGCCGCAGGCGCCGCTGGCCGCGACGCCGACGCCGCCTGCTGTCAGGCCGCCGCCCCCGCAGATCACTGCACGGTGGGCCTTCGCCTGGCGCGCCTGTGGTGCTCTGCCAGGCGGGCTTCTACGCGAAGCAGGTGCTGCCCTGCGCTGGTGCTCGGCAGCGGCGGTGGCGCGGCCCGCGCCTTGCAGCGGTTGGGCTTCGGCGTCGTGCACCTCGACCCGAGTCGCCACGCAGGCGACGACATCACCGATCACGGAGTGATGCGGCGCGTTTTAGGCTGGATTCGTTCTAGCTGCCTCTCGTGCGTGCGGGTGGAACCCGACGCCGCCACCTGGCTTCGTCAGCCGCCTGCTGTGCGTTCTAAGCCGCATCCTCGCGGCCTCCCGACCTTGACCAACTTTAAAGCTCGATATGTTCGCGTCGCCAACCTCTTTCAGGATCAGTACTTGCGCGTCCTGTCTGAATGCTGTTATAAGAAAGTGCCCGCCATATTGTGCCATCCCGACGCGTCTTTTATATGGGACGGCAGTGCGCGCACCACTCTTGCGAACTAGAGTTCGTCCTCGACAGTTTTCGACTCATGCATGTACGCTGGCCGTGCCAAAAAACAGGTTTCGACTTGCAAGCTGGAGCGTGGAAGATATTGATCGGCTATCCCTGACCTGTTCGCCTGTTGCCTCGCCGTGCCGTCGCACTCGAAAACGACATCTCGGCGAGTTAGGCATCCCATCGTTAGACCGTCAGTTGCGCAGCGCTGCGCGCCACCCCCCTGCGCGTATCCTACGATTCGCATGTGAAATGATGGCCAACAGTGTCGATAGCCTACGATGCGTCTCCCGACTAATTTGATGTGTGTGAGAATTCATTTAAGTTTTGCGGCTTTCAGCCAGTGTCTTGGACTAGCCATAGTACCTGGTGCTGGCCCCTGCGGCGTCAGAGTTCGTGTCCTCGCCTGGCGCCCTCTTGCACAAAAAGAATCATCTGGCCACGGAGTCGTCCACATTATGCTGCCCGCGGCTATGTGTGGCTCTCTTTCGGGCCGCGCTTGCATTCTCAAGTCTCTCCCCCCCCCCTTTTCTCCCTACTCAAGAATGTTTATTTGGCCTGGTGCTGGCCCCTGCGGCATCAGAGTTCGCGTCCTCGCCTGGCGCCCTCTTGCACAAAAGGAATCATCTGGCCACGGAGTCGTCCACATTACTATTATGATGATGATGGTGATGATGCTGATGATAAGGACGATGATGGTGATGATGATGGAGGTGGTGTTGATGCTGCTGATGATGACGACGACCATGATGATGATGGTGTTGGTGTTTGTGCTGGTGATGGTGATGATGATGATCATCATGATGAGCATGATGATGGTGATGATGGTAATGATAATGATGATGATGATGGTGATGATGATGGTGATGCTCATGCGGTTGGTGACCGTGATGGTGGTGGTGATGATGAGGATGGTGATGTCGATGATGGCCTTGATGATAGTGCTGCTGATGTGGATGGTGATGATGATGACGACGATGGTGATGGGGATGGTGTTGATGATGATGCTTACGTTGCTGATGATGGTGGTGTTGATAATTATGATGAGGGTGATGATGACGATGGCGATGACGAAGTCGATGACGATGACGATGACGATGATGATGAGGAAGATGATGACGATGATGATGATTACGATGATGATTACGATGATGATTACGATGATGATGCTGGTGATGGTGATGGTGATGATGATGATGATGGTGGTGAGGATGATGATTGTGAGGGTCAGGATGATGATGCTGATGATGATGATGATGATCCTGATGATGATGGTGATGATGCGGCTGCTGATGGTGATGATGATGGTGATGGTGATTCAAGTCAGGACAAAAATCATTGTAAGCCATCTTGCGTAAGACCCGTGTCTCTTCGTCGCGCTCTTCGTCGCCACGCCAGAGCGGGTGGCGACCTGCCGACAACATGGCCGCCCCCCGCCGCGGCGTCTGGCGCACGCGCGCCGGATCGCTCCCAGGATGCTGGCGTTTGCGGGGCCGTACTCGACCTCCACCGACGAGGAGCGCTCATCGGCCATGCGCAGAGGGGGGGGAGGGGGGAGGGGGGAAGGCGTCTAAGAATCAGGCGATCGCAAGCATGGATCAAGGGGACGTGGATCAGCGACGGGTCCCGTTTCAATGGGAAATCGTGGATTTCCGCCGCCGAAAGAGACGGCACCAGCCACATTTGGGGGAGGGCACCTCACCCGATCCAAGGATGCTCGCGCGCGAAATCCATGGATCGCTAATCCATGTTTGCGCGCCCCCGAAAGAAACACCCCTGCTTAATTATTCGCAGTCGCGTGCCTTGCCTGTCGATGCGAGGCAGGCACCTTCTAAGAAGCAGCCTCCTCCTGAGAAGCCCTCCCGCCTTCCCCTCCCCCCACCCCCTGTGTGCGCCGCCAAGCTCCCTCGCGGCCCTCCGCCCCTCAGGTCCAGGCGTGGCAATGGTTTCACCACGGGCGCCGGGGCCCCCGCGGATCGACCCGGCTCAGAGAACGGCGCCGGGAGGTGGGGGTCCGGGGCCCCGGGTGTGGTTCTGCACGGTGTTGAACATTCTTGTCGCAACGTCGGATCTCAGGGGCCCTCGGGGTGGGGGTAGGCCGAGGGGGTAAGCTGGTGGCGTGCCGCGGAGGAGGAGGAGGCGGAGGAGGAGGAGGAGGAGGAGCAGAGGAGGAGGAGGAGGAGGAGGAGGAGGAGGAGGAGGAGGAGGAGGAGGAGGAGGAGCAGAGGAGGATAGGGGAGGAGGAGGCGGAGGAGGAGGAGGAGGAGGAGGAGGAGCAGAGGAGGATAGGGGAGGAGGAGGCGGAGGAGGAGGAGGAGGAGGAGGAGGAGCAGGAGGAGGAGGAGCCAGCCGGTTTGTGACCCAATCCCGCCGTGGCCAGACAAGGCCTGCCGTGCTTGGTTGTGCGTTCTTGAGGCTGGCACGATGGCTGTAAGGCATCTCTTCGTAAGGGAAATTAGCTCCTCGGAGGGTCGTAAGACGTGCGATGGTACTTTTTTCGTGCGTAAGAAGAGCGTTCCTTGTCATAGCGTCGGGTACCATCGTGCTGCCTTTTGGTAAGCCGCCTCTGCGTGGGGGGGTGTCCTTGCGTAAGACTCGTTTCCCTTCGTCGGTGATGTCGATCATTCTGATGAGATTGATGATGATGAGGAGGAGGAGGAGGCGGAGGAGGAGGAGGAGGAGGAACCGCCAGGGGACGGACGCCGCACGGCTTCCCCCCGCCCCTTCCCGTGTGGCGGCGGACCCCGCAGGCGGTCTGTCGTGCGGTCCCACGGCGGATGGCAAGCAGCCCTCCGACTCCTGCGGGGAGGGTCGGTGGGATCGGGCACTGAGGTGGTCCTTGCGTCGTGATGGGAGAATTCGGCGGCGAGCGAGGGGGGGAAATGAGAAGGAGAAGGCCTTCTCAGAAGGCGGCGGGACTTCTCAGAAGGCCGGAGGCCTTCTGAGAAGTTTTTTCTGCCCTCGGGGAAGGCTTGGAAAACTTCTCAGAAGTCCCGGGAACTTCCGAGCCTTCTGAGAAGGCCTTCTCCTTCTCCATTACCCCCTGGGCTCGCCGCCTAAGAATGGCTCACACCCCGTGAGCCAGGGGCAACGTAACTCTTATCCCACCCCTCAGTGCGAGGGGTACTCGGTCCCCAGTCCTGAACCCGAGCTTGCGGGGGAAGGGGGGATGGAGCCTGTGAGGGGCCTCGCCATCGGAGACCCATCGCCGATTCATCCTCGATGGATCGCCGATTCCAGCCCGATGTTCCCCCACCCTCACACCCCATGAGCGGGTCCTCCCCGAACGTCCTCCCTCAGAGGAGTGCCAGCGTGGGGACCCACCAGGGTGCCCCAGAGTTGAGAAGGGGGAGGAGGAGGAGGAGGAGGAGGAGGAGGAGGAGGAGGAGGAGGAGGAGGAGGAGGAGGAGGAGGGGCAGGAGGTCGTCGCCGAACGGCGGCGCTGTTGAGGTCAGCGTGCTCGAAGGAGGGGCCAGGAGGCGAGAGGAGGGAGGATCCACTCCTTCCAAGGGGCTCGGCGCTCGGGACCGGGGCTTCTGCGGGGTTTGCCAGGCGGGCTCGTCTCGCTCGGGGCCTCTCCTCGCCGCGTGCTGGTCGGGTTCGGGGCCGCGCGCGGGCGCCCTGCTCCCGAGGGCTGCCCCGCCTGCTTGCCGTGGACGCGTCCAGTCGGCGGCATGCTCACACAGTGGGGGCGCGCATCAAGAAACCATATGCTTTTCGTCGGGGTATCCTGGGTTTCTTCGCGCCTCGCGCTGCGCGGTGACTTCCCGCAGCCGTTGATGGAGCTGCTGCGTTCAGGGTGCTCCAGGTTGCCCCTCAGGTGCACCTCGCGCACGGGTTCTCAGGGTTGGGTTTTCTTGCGAGGGTTTCTCGCGGCCGCGCCCGCACTGTAGCCGGTGGTCCGAGCTGCACGCGAGATCGACCATTTGACAACCCCCTCTGGTCCGAGGCGGGACTGACTGAGGCCGGCTGCGTTCAAGACGCCGCCTCTGATCTAGCGAACCTCGCTTGCACCAG